CTGGCCAGCCTTAACCTCAGTTTCACTCAATGTGGACATGCTAGTTCGAATTAGCAAAACGCTAATTTGAACTAGTTTTTAGGTCTAGATGCGTTAGTTCGAATTAGCTTAGTTCGAATTAACGAATTTGAATTGTTAGTTCGAATTAGTGCTGTAGTGTAGACATACCCTGAGAGAGGCTATCTTCTGTCTTCTGGATCACTTGATAAATTGTTGACCTCAGTGTGGAAGATGGGCACTTGGAAATAGTGGTAGCTAGTGCACTTTCGGCTTCTGCATCCTGCATTCAATCTGATGCAGACGCCAGTTTCCCAATGTCTGGAAAACCCACAAGCCCCTGAAGGAATCCATATATCTGGAAATGAATTAGATGGGGTTGTGTGACCCACACAAAACTGGGCTTCACCTGTCTGTGGTAGAAAATTCCTACCTGCCCTGCTTCAGGCATTGAGGAGCCAGGCTCAGAGGCCAGCTCTGAGCTGCAGCGTGTGGGGTGCGCACCGAGGTAGTGATGAGAAGGGCTTTTGCAAACTTCAGGAACCACTGATGGCTCCTGGGCTTACCTCTATACTAGGCCCCTCTTTGCACTGTCCTTCCCACAATAACTCCCCAACAAGCACACTCCAGGCCTTTGTCTGACAGTCGAGCAGCAAAGGGAGAGCGTGCAGCCTCACCTAGCTCCTCACATGCTCTCAGGGATTGGGCAGGGCTCAGATACCATGGCACGGGTTTGGTGGGACAGAGCTGCAGCAGCTGGGCTTACCTCTATACTAGGCCCCTCTTTGCACTGTCCTTCCCACAATAACTCCCCAACAAGCACACTCCAGGCCTTTGTCTGACAGTCGAGCAGCAAAGGGAGAGCGTGCAGCCTCACCTAGCTCCTCACATGCTCTCAGGGATTGGGCAGGGCTCAGATACCATGGCACGGGTTTGGTGGGACAGAGCTGCAGCAGGAACTCCAGAGGAGTGCTGGGAAGTTGCAGAAGGGGGTAAATTGGTGACTGCCCGAACACCTTCCAAACGTAGCAGGCGTGATGTCGCAAGGGACACCTCACCCTGGTCTCTTATACGCTCACTGGCACATTTTTACCTGTGTTTCCCTAGGCCAGGTCATGCAGTGTAATTCAGCACGTTGTGAGGGAGCTGAATGGAGGTTTGCTCCCCATTTGCTGGATATCAGGAAAGTGGAGTAAAAAGGTTGAAAGAACTCCCCCAGAGTTTTTTTTCATAATCCCCCTTCTTCCTTGCTGTTGATTTGGTTAATAGGAAGGGAACTTGGCATTTCCGAGCAAGTTAGATCCCCTAGCACACCACCCGGATGCTTTTCTCAGGAGACCATTGGCTGTTCAAAGATAAGAGAGCCTCACTAATCATGTGGATCTTTGTGCAAGCTGAGCCCAGGCTCCAGAGACCACTGGTGAACCACATCAGTGACTCAGAAAAGTCAGGGAGTTCAAGAGAGCATTAGTGCGATGCAAGGATGTTGTTGTGTTGTACGCTGCCTCCCCACCAGCCTGATCTGCCACATGCTGTGTTCAGAGTAAGCCTTGGGAAGCTCAGCTCCTCAGACAGGTGGTTAAGGAGGGGGCTGATGCTAACAGGGAAAGCAGGCTTCTCTGCCACAGTAGAAGGAGGGGGCCTTTGAGCATGTGACCCCACTTGTGTAGAGGGGGACCAGGCTATCTCAAGATGGCCATCGAGAGAGAAGGACTGAGTTAGCAGATTTGCAGTCTCAGATGAGCTTTTTGTTGAGTGTAAATTAGGAGTGTAAAATCCAGTGTAAATTGTTAACTAATTAAACTTTAGGTTTAACTGG